GGCGCGCTCATCTGCCGGTGAGTGCTTTTGCTTGCCCTTTTTTATTTAAGCCATCTGCAAAGCGTGTTTGCTCTTATTATTCAATCGCACCTGGACATCCTGCATGATTTGGACCCGGTCGCCATGCTTAGTATACGAGGAAATAAATGCGCGAAGCCATGCGACCTCTTGTGAAGCCTTCGGACCCTAGTTCCCAGATAAAAGCGAACACATGTGTTTCATTCTGTAACTAGACCAGGTGGCATTGTCTGCATAGTCCAACCACTTGATGTGAACGTCTAGATGTGTAGTTTGTCTGGAAAGTGCAATCAGTTGCAACGTATCCGTTTTTATGTTTGCTTAACTTACAAGAGGCGAGCTTAGGACAGAAACTGCGTGTCACAACCGAAGGCAAAGGGGAGCTTAGAGATAATGCATATGAGTTAATAATTGTTAAATAATCCATCCCAATTTTAGAGGACGAATTGGCTGAAAGGAATCTCCGGCTTTCGAGGGAAATTAACATTGTCCACCAGAAGAATATTCGCCTGCAGCAGATGATGTGTCGCTTGAAGTCTCTGGCCGCCTGGGAGCATACTGCTCTCCGATGCGTTTATGAAAAACAGGTAAATCCTGATGCCTTAAGAACCCTCTATTCATATCTGATCTACTTTCACTATGCTTTCCTACATTTTTTAAGTCAGATTTTCTGGAGCGCCAAGCTACTCATATATGCCAAATGAGGAATTCATGGTTTTTTGAATTTTCCGTGGGGAAAGTTTAAGTGGGTATATTATATATTTGAATAGGGTAGATACTAAAGTAAGTTAATATAACCAATACGTATCCAACAGGTTTCAAAATAACTATAATTTATTGCCTTGAAATTGACGGTAGACGTTGCAGCAGTGTGTTATTCAACGATAAGTCGACACTATACACGTCAAACCAAAATCGATAAGACGCATTCTGATGACCTGTGAGGGTTATGTATGAAACGGCATTCTTAATGCGGACTTTATCGAGGCAAATGCCACTACCTATCTCCATAGTCGTAGTAAAAACGAAACAAGTCCAAGCTGGTCGATTACTGGGCATTCTTCGAAGCAGATCGTATGTTCACCAACGCAGAGGCTTTTGCAGTGAAATGACTCAGAACGGAACT